ATCAGCATAGAGAAGGTAATTAATATCTAAGCAATTAGTTATATCATTGATAAAAAATGTTGAACAGTAGGGGCCCAAGAACAGATCCTTGCGGGACGCCCGACGTGGCTAAGTAATCTACAGATGTACACCCTCTAAGTAGGACATACTGAAATCTATTTGACAAATAAGATTCAAATAATTGTAATAGGGAATTCGAGAGACAAAAATTGTTAAGCTTTGATGGTCAAGTTGTCAAGCCTTCGAAAAGTATGTGTAAATAACATATGTTTGCAATTATTTATCTATGGCAGCTATTTAAGTTAGAAGTTGTTGATCTACCTTTCATAAATCCATGCTGACAAACTGAAATTTTGCTAATAAGAGAAGTAAAACAAATTATGTCAGATAACAAAGGGAAATTACATGCACAATTAAAATTCAATAGGTAAATTAGAATAGTTTTCCAGACGGCTAATATTTTATGAACCTTTTTGTCAAAGACACTCTCACATAATGATCAAAATTACAAAAATTAATTTTCAAAATACCCAAATGAATAAAGAAAAAACTAATACTCTACCACAAATGAGTAACTTCAAACAATATGCTGAAAATACTTTGCTATGTTTGAATAAGAAGATGGACACATTTTAAAGGTTAATTAATTCAACCTTTTTGGACTAAAATGATCCAAATAACCTCCTGAAGTTGCTAAAACAATTACATTAGTCATTTATATTAGTTTTTCATATTTTTTTAATGGCTATTTGAAAAGATTTAATATGTTTGCATTTAACTAATCGAAAAATAACGCTTATGTGTAAAGGATAAATGCATGAAGAATTTAACAATCATTGTAGAAATAGTTACGTTATTAGGGTGCTCTCTACTTCACTCATACTTGAATATAAACCTCTGAAAGGGATGGTACTCGAAGTAGTAGGTACTATGCGGTAATTATTAATAAACGTTCACCCTTAGGTTATCTACGCGGTTTGAGAAAATATTTAGTGAAGTGGTAGCTTTAAAGCAATACCCATGTACCCATGTACAATACATAGTTTTAAATTCCGGAAAAAAGTTAAAAGCTGACAGTTTCAATCGAGTGGAGAAATACTTACAAAATAATTTTTCTAAAAGCTATTGTAATGAACAGTAACTCAATTAACGATTTTTTACATCTGTTTCATTCAGTTACAGCATTACATTACAACTGATGAAAACGCAAAAGAAAAATATTTTCCCAAACATCAATTTTTATTTTAGAGAACACTCTATAATAAAATTACAAAAGGCCTATTCACCTGGTAAATTTCACGGGTTATATGATCCCGTTATTGACGAGTAAACATAAAAAATGTTCGGTTACTGCTAAACGTATCGCTATATCTAGCAATGAGCTTTGGTAGTGGTCGCATCTATTTATAACTTGTTGCTTGGTCAATATCCAGATTAAATTTTTCAATCACGTATTATTTACTGCTCTTCATGTACGTTATATATTATCTGTCACAAACATACATATTACTTTTCTCGTGGGACATTCGTTAGTAAATTCAATGAACCTAATGCAGCGTGCATGTTTTCATATTCTTTAATAATTTGTAACATTAATTAGAATTGGAAATATTAATTTTAAAAGCAGTTATGATATTGTAGCAAATAATAAATTTTTATACTTCAGTTTTTAGTAACAGATAAACCAGATTGATCTTTCCTAATAATATTTATCACTTAAATATTATCACTAATGTAAATAAATATGTTTTGATACTAGCATACAATGAAGAGATTGTTATTTTCCAAATAAATTTATCTCAAAAACTACAACAGATGAAAATATGGAACCAATGCAGATCTTTGACGAATATTTCAGAGAATATTATAGATATTTTTCAGATTTTTACATGATTTTCAATGGTCTAAAAAAATTGAAAATAATTTTGATATTTTTTCCAATTTCTAATATTCTTACATTAACCAAAAAAATTCTAGATATTCTTTAGAGAATATGTACTTTTACTACAACAAAGCTCATTAAAATCCGAAAGACGCTTTTTAAGTAATAAAATAAAAACCTTATTTTTACTAGTACCTCTACCTCATTTCTATAATAACTTACATACACATTTTAGGGAAACATATACATTACTATTTCATTTTTTTATTTCACCTACTTTGGTATTAGTCTTGCTTTAATAGTACCTACAGATTCCTACAGATTAGTAGGTATGAAGCCCCACAAAATAAAAAAAAGTATCGGATCTGGTATTCAGACCCATGTATTTCCATATATTTTTTTCCGCTGAATCCGAATCTGCCTTCAGATTTGGCCCAACGGGTCTGAGTTTTCGGGAAAATTAAAAAAACAGGTGAAAATTCACAAAAAACGTAATTTACTATCGACGAAAGTTATAAAAAATCAAATTATTCTACTAGCTCACTAGACGTATGATTTTTCACTCGTTTAATTCCAATTTATCACCATAAGAGTCAGACAAGCTGGTCCAATTTTATTCAAAAACAGAAAATAGATTAAAAACGACATTTTCATGGCATAATTCGTGTTGCAGAGTTCTGGATCCATCTTTTTATCCACCCACCCATTTATGAATTCATACATCTTTCTATCATCCACCTGTACCACCTATAAAACCCACCCATCCACCCATCTATCCATCTACTTTTTGTACTGAGAGATGAGATAACAGCCTATAAGATTGAGAATGCAATAAAACTTGTAGAATACTCTACTTTCTAAATAAAAGAAAACGATATCTACAAATCATTCTTATTTTTGTTGCTATAACGTGTTCTTTTTTCTTCAAAGGATCTATGCAGAGTTACGCTTTCGTTTAGTCCCTCTATTTTTCGTTTCTCTTTTTAACAACCAACAAAAATCGACCATCGTGTTTTCAGCCCATCTTCCTTGATATCGCTATTCTATAATCTTCATATCCTGATGAAATCGTTCGCCTTGTTCTTCGCTATAATCTGCAAGATTTTGAGGAAACCATTCCAGATGTGAATGAAGGAAGTGCAACTTGTAGTTCATCAAACATCCCAAATCTTGGAAGTCTTTTATCATTTTCGATACAATTTCTTCGTATTTAGGACTCTTGTTGTTTCCAAAAAAAATTTTCGCCCTATATATATAGGGCGAAAATTTCCGAATACTTCTGAAGCGAAATTGAAAGAAGGTGTATTCGATGGACCTCAGATTCGGACATTGTTCAAGGATGCAACATTCATCACTACAATGAGTAGCGTTGAGAAGAGTGCTTAGACTAGTTTCAAAGCTGTAGCGACAAATTTTTTAGGAACCAAGAAGGGTCCTAAATACGAAGAAATTGTGTCAAAAATGATAAAAGATTTCCAAGATCTGGGACGTTTGATGAACTACAAGTTGCACTTTTTTCATTCACATCTGGATTGGTTTCCTCAAAATCTTGGATCTTGGCGAAGAACAAGGCGAACGCTTTTATCATGATATGAGAGTTATAGAACAGCGATATCAAGAAAGATGGGATGAAAACATGATGGCCGACTTTGTTGGTTGTTAAAAAGATAAACGAAAACTAGAGGGACTAAACGAAAGCTTAAACCTTTGCATAGATCCTTTGAAGAAAAGAGAACACATAGCAACAAAAATAACAATGATTTGTAGATATTGTTTTCTTTTGTTTAGAAAGTTTTATTGCACTCTCAATCTTCTAGGCTGTTATCACATCTCTCAGGACGAAAAGTAGATGGATAGATGGGTGGATGGGTGGGTTTTATAGGTGGTACAGGTGGATGAATAAATATGCGTATTCATGCATGAACAACTGGATAGAAAGATGTATAAATTCATAAATGGGTGGGTGGATAAAAAGATAGATCCAGAACTCTGCAACACGAATTATGCCATGAAAATGACGTTTTTAATATATTTTCTGTTTTTAAATGAAATTGGACTGAAATTGTCTGACTCTATGATGATAAATTGGAATTAAACGAGTGAAAAATCATACGTCTAGTGAGCTAGTAGAATAATTTGATTTTTTATAACTTTCGTCCATCGTAAATTACGTTTTTTGTGAATGTTGACCTGTTTTTTAAATTTTCCCGAAAACTCAGACCCGTTGAGCCAAATCTGAAGGCAGATTCGGATTCAGCGGAAAAACATACATGGAAATACATGGGTCTGAATACCAGATCCGGTACTTTTTTATTTTGTGGGGCTGTGTAATGATATCTTAGTAAACAATTATCATGTTTACTACAGTACATTCACAGTGCCTAGTAGACAGTTAACACCTTTGTCAGTAGAGCCTCCAGATATAGACCGGTTTCGATCTTATTAGTTTTCATTGGTATGCCACAGAAGGGAACACATTCGAAACATGTTAGCTAAATCATTCGTCGGTCATCTCAACCGGTCTATGTCTGGTTCTTTTACTAAGGGATGATTTTAATTATTTACTAGATATTGGGAATATAATTCAATGCTGGTTGGGACTTTAGTCCAGATAGTGGTCGTTCCCTAAAATTTTATTAATTTAAAATATTTATGATTATTAACATTTGTATAAATCTTTGTTTGTTTGTTGATGTGTGGATTACATTTTTTGGGCCACCTATCCTGTTGTATATCCGTATTGTGAATAAATACAATGCAAAAGTGCTTTCTTACTGAAACAGGATTTAAAAAGTTGAATAATGAGACTGAAACAAAAAAAATGTTGACGGTTTATCCTTCCTTCCGCTACGAGCTAGAACATTATAAATTCGTAAAATTTTTAATAAGCTATTGTATGTATAACAAAATACTGTATAAAATAAAACCTTTTAGTTTTATATAATTTTTTTTTTTAATTATTTTATGCTTACACTTCCTTTATTTTGGAAACGAAGGAAAATGCATTACTTAAAGGAATAACTTAAAATAATATCTTTTATTTAATGTAGGACTTCTAAGAGGTCTGAAATAAATTTTTTCCACGAGTATCTGTTACTGAAATCTTTCTTTGTTGCAGGCGAGGTTGGCAAAGAAATGTACATAGTAAACCGAGGTCGCCTTCAAGTAGTTGCAGATAATGGCAGGACGGTGCTGGCCACCCTTAAAGCGGGTAGTTATTTTGGAGAAATATCAATATTAAACATGGGCACGGCAGGTAAACACCTTGGTAAATATCAGCAGGCAGGCCCAACAAATTGGGGTTCCACTACTTCAACCTCTGCATGTCATATATGGCATGAAAATCCCCTGCCTGGCTTTTATTTGTCAAACCCCCTCGCTAAATTTGATCTATTAATTTAAAGGGAAAAGCCAAAAATCTCACAAGCCATCCATTCCATTCAATGATCAGTACAGATTTCCATATATGTTGGGTCTAACATATTTTATTAGATAAGAAATAAAAATAACTTCTACTTTGTTTTAAAAGAATTAAACTGATTCTAATAAATTCAAAAAGTTCACTAAAATCCTATCACATGAGAACAGGTTTTATTTGATACCAACTATTACAGTATACAAAAATATCTAATCTCGTAGACAAGATTCTTATCAAATGATGATGATGAAAAAACAAATTGGATTTACAATAAATTACATTTAAAATAAATAGTTTATGAGAATAAAGGGATTTTTGTAGGAACAGGGTGTCAGACGTGAACTGATCCCTTCATCCCTTCATAATGCATAAAGAAATTATTCAATTTTTAAACTCCTTAAAACTGCACTGCACTGGATTCCTTGACAGGCAATGATTTATTATTTTTCATCGAATATGATCCTACTACAGTAATTATTAATTTGCTAAAATAAAAATTGAAAATGATTTATCTAAATATTATTGATTGAAAAACACATTCCTAACATATTGAAATTATTTACGTATCTAATCTTTCAGGGAAATGTCTTTTAAACTTGTTATCCTGACATCACTTTTGATAAAGATTTTAGGTAGTTTTACATTTTGAGGAACGCTTTTTCAAGTGGAATTCTTCTTCACTTAAAAAGAAATCATCAAAATGCAGAAAAGTTAAGGTCTACCTATCGTGATACCTTTGTTAGTGATGCTAGAACAGTAAGAATAAAAGATGTTTCTTTGGAAGATTACATTATTAATTGATCTCAATATGGCAGGTAAGTACGCGTTTTTCAATTAATATTAATTACAAATTACTTACTAGATACTGCTGATATAATGCAACCTTGTTTATAATGTCAGATATCTTTTGTATATATTTTTGGCATCAAAGAATAAGTGATAGGAATGTATGATTCTTTTTTAAATTTAAATGAATTAGTTTAATATCTTCAAAATAAAGTAAAAGTACCTATATGGTTAATAAACATATAGAATTTCATTGGTTTGGTGATATGAACAGAAAGATATTTTTTATATTTAAAAATACTCTTTATCAATGTCTAAGTAATTTTTACACAACTGAATTATAATAAAAAAAAAATGTTTGTGAGATTTTTTTAAATCTAAAATTTATATAAAATAACATTAAGATAAAATATATGATACAGAAATTAATAAACATTTCTAAATATTAACTCACAGGTATAACTTAATACATTATTCATAAAACAAATAATTAAGGCTAGATACATAATGCTTGACAAAAACTTGTTGTGATAAGTATAATTCGTGTGTGTGTCCCCAGCTGCAAAGAGCATGTATTACATGTGTTTTATTAAAAAATAAGTATTACCTATATATTTTCCTTTTGACAAGACCCATTAAAATCTCGTGGATATACCCATATTTTATTCAACTTCATTCTGATAAAATATATCCGATTGATTCGTTGCATAAGAAGATACAGAAACAATTTATGTAGTAAGAAATAAGTTTGTAACTGTATAAATTTATTATATGTATGACGTTCTTTTCAAATTATGCTTTTAAAAAACAATAATATCAAAATATACGCGAATTTCTAAAACTTAATCTAACTCTGTTTTTACTACAAATATTTACGTCATGTTAAGGAATATTTTTAATTATTGTACGTAGTGTTACGTTTATATTTTTCACAAGATAATACAGGCCATACATAATAAAATAAGTCATCCTTGTTTGTTATTTTGTATTGTCCACCTTAAAATTAGTAGCAAAAATGTGTACATTTTTATTCGTTTATAGACAACTTAGCAGCATGTTTGTATTGAAAATAAACCCCTAAAATTTCAGTGTCTTTCATTAAAAATTTGCAAAACATTTTTAATTTAGATTTAGATTTTGATATATACAAGGTCAGTCAGGTTATATGTACACTCGACGTAAGATAAAAGTTTCCAACCTAAAAGGCATACTACTTTTATAGGGACGAGCCGGTGGACTATTAATAGGAATTTTGGGAGGCATCAATAATTAGGGGCGTGTCATATATTTTTTTGTGTAGGCACGCGTGTAACGACACATAACAAAAAATTGCAGGCCTGAACTATATGCATTATAAATAGAGAAGAGTATACAGGTTTTGAAATTATTTTGTCTTGCCACATTATTTTTCTTGTCCCTGAGAAAATTAATATTTTGAAATAAGAATTTGTGTCATATTCTGCAGAAAATAGTTAGGTAAACTACAGTTTTATTATAACTTAGTTTCGGGAGGAAAGGGAAATATTTTAAGGACGTGTTAACGTGTTAATCAACGATTAAAAATGTGGCTAACGTTTCCGAGCTGCAGGGTTTTCAAAATTAAAAAAAAAATCAAATTTTTAATCTTCTTAAATCCGTTCAATCTAACTATTCATAAATAGCTAGTAGACGTTTCGCAAGATTTTTTAACTAGTCTAACTAATCGATTTTTCTATTGTAATGTAAATGCAACTCTTTTAATAGAAACAAGATAATAAAAAATGCATACGAGGTCTGCTATAAGAGTTTGCCGATTTAGTCCCATTTTCAAAATGCCAATCTACCAGGAAAACATTTTTGTACAAAACTCGTAAAATGTCAGATGTGACGGTAACTTATTGCCACACGAGTTTATTGGGAACGCCCCATATAGACAAGCGGTTAAGCCGTCATATTTCAAACAAAATACGATTCAGATTGGAAACCTTTATCTTGCGTCGAGTGTACATATATCATGTTTTAAATAGCACCAGCGCATTCGCCATTTTATACGTCATCATTAGGATTCCAATAATAATCGCGAATATGCAACAAATTATTTATACAGAGTGATTAATACACAGTATTACTTGTAAATATTTACCACAGTACCTAGAAATAAAATAGAAATAAAAGGAAGTTGTTAATTAAAACAATATAAATTACTGCTGCTGTGATTGAATTTAGGCTACACATAGAAATGTCTGGGTATCTACAAGGTGTCCCAGAATATGTGGACAATCTCTCGAATTTATACAGGGGACGTTAAAATAACATGACAAGTAGGTACCTATAAAAAATTTCCCTAGAGTGTCCCCCCCCCCCCCCGGAGATACAAGCTCCTAAAGGACGCCCCCCTGGAAGTAGGTAAAAAAATGTAAATAATAATGAAAATTTCATCGGTTTATTTGTCTTTACGAATTTAATAAAAATCATATTAAACAGAAATAGTTTTTTCTCGAATACAGTTCATTTTATCGATATCAGCCAGAAGTGCTTTTTAGTATAAGCTTCAAGCAATCTAAAAATATGTTTGTGCCTTTATCGTAAAAGGTATAAAAAAAATTGACATTATTGTGCTACAGCTAGTCCGTCCCTGACAAACCAAATAAGCCAATTGTTTTCATTGGTCAATTTTTAAGGAGTCTTATTTGTTGTCCATCGTATTAAAAAATAATTAAATTACACAACGTATTTTAAAAGTTATTAAAAAAAAGTGCATTTTCAGTTGCGTCTTTTCGGGACCTGTATCCCCGTAGGGGGTACGTTCTAGGGAAAATTTTTATAGGGACTTGTCATATTATTTTAACGTCCCCTTTATAAATCCGAGAGATTGCCCACAAATTCTGGAACACCCTGTATATCACATAAACACTAGGTACAGTGCATCTGTATGTTATACTCGCCATCTATTAATTATATAAACTCATTAGATATGTCATGTTTACAGAGCAACTGTATTATTACACTTGCGAAAAACATTACTTACTTTGCAAATAAAGAATAAATAAATCAAGGTGCGAAACCACTGTTGGCAGAAATATTGTTTGCAAATAAAATATTTTCATTAAGATCTACTGTCTTATTTCACATTGATACGATGAAAACTTTTTGAAACGGCTGACAACATACTGTCATATAGTCTCTATTTAAGTATAATTTTTGGTGCATGCCTATTTGGAAACCGTTTTAGTTAAAGATGTGCAGCGAACTGGCAGTTTTCATAAGTGTTTGCATACGTTATCACCATGCCCTTTAATTCATCTATTAAATGTTTATTTGCACTTATAGAAAACACACTTAAAAATAATAAATTAGAAACATAAATTGCTGCACTGAAACATTTGTTCATTAATAATTATCACAATAAAAGTTTCGCAATGAAAACTAAACTGGAACTGATAATAATGAAAAAAATTAGATGACGCACCATTTACAGGCAGAATTATTCACCTTCCTTTATGTAGTATGTAAATCAGGGACGATTCCAGAGGTTCTCAATAAGTTTACTATATTTACTATTAAAAAATCTTATCTAAGTTGTAAACATCTTAAATCGAAATTTAGTTAAAGAACAAGTCAAAACATCAGGTACTAAATTGATTGTGAGTCAACAGTTGGTTCTTCATTTTAGTGCGAAATATTTGATAAATATGACTAAAACCATTATTATTAGACACAGATACATACATGTCTACCTTTATATTTCCAAAATATTTCCAAAATTAAAACATTTTTCCATGAAATTTTCATTTTTGAGATAAAGGTTGTTAAAGTTTTCAAAAAGGTGTTATACTTAAGTATTTTCAGCATAAATGGATATATTGAATAAAATAACATTCAGTGTGAAAAAATTTAATCTCAATTCAAACTAGTAGTGTAGATATGAGATGTGCGGGTTACATTATCAAATTATGGCATGGGGCTAGAAAAATAATAATAATAATTTTTTCGACCCTTTTGATAACTGATCTTTTGACTTTTTTGCTTGACTTTCATATAAAGATGCATATAAAACTGTGTACACACACAAG